TTCGAAGGATCTCGATCTTCCTGAAGATGAATTGACAGTTGTACTTGTCCCTGTGATCCCTACCAGGGGCAGCCATTTTAAGACAGGTTCGCGGGTTAAAAATAAAGCCTTAGTTGAAAGATCGAAAGTGAAAGTGAAACTAACCTACAATACAAAAGTTTATGCACACTCTCTTAAAGTACATTTGAAGGCAAAGACTGATGCATTGTTCACGCCACTTTCTCCTGTTGCTTCTCATAGCAGCTCTTCCTTTTCCACTGGAGGGGAACAGCCATTGCTTTGATCATCAGGAAAGAACATATAATGCAAACTCTCAGTTTGTCTTCAAGACTTGCTCCCAGAGCTGTACTGTTATGCCTTTTTTCTCTCCCGACAATGCTTTAGAGGCTCACTTAAATCTGTTTGAAGAAGCACAAGAAAGCATCACAATTGTAAATCCAAGTAAGTCTATTATCCTTCAGTACTGTTGCATGCATGAACCAAGAATGTTTAATTTTTTTCTTTTGCAGCCTTTGAGAGTTGGAATCGAACTTGTAGCCACAATCACAACCAATGTGCTAAGTGCTGCACCGGCTGTGATATCTCTTACTACAGGGCTGATGAAAAGTTTCCGGTCTTTGCAGCTCTTCTAAATGCCATTAACTTAAGAAACGTGAGCATCAGGATCCTCACTAATAATTACTCTTCTACCACTTGGCCTGAGAAAGCAACAATGCTAGACTGGCTTGCTGTGAATAATATATCAGTAAGAATGTACAAGACGACGTATTTCCTTCATGCAAAGTATGCCTTTATTGACGGGGGAAAGAAAACTCTCATCTCTTCAGTGAATTACAGTAAAACGTCATTCATGAAGAACAGGGAGTCGGGAGTGATCATATCTCAATGCAGTGACTGTGAAACATTGAAATTATACCAGACGGTGTTTGAAAGTGACTGGGAAATAGCCGATCCTTATGTTTTTGATAATCAATACACTGAAGACCAGTTAAAGAGCATGAGAGATCAAGCATTTTACCCTTATCCCATTGTGAAGCAACCAGGCAAACGTGTTCCAGATATCCAAACAACGATGGCTTTACAAGACTTCAATGATGTACAAATCTCTGGATATGTGGCACCAGACAATGCGAGGAAAACTTTTATGGGATCATTGCAAAACATCCAATCGAAACTAATTGTCCATATCTATGCTATTACTAGTGCTAAGATATGCAAAGAAATCGTCAATTTGAAGAATAATAGTGGAATTAATGTGACTCTGCTGGTGAGCTGGAACACTGCTGGAGCAGTCAAAAAATACACAGAAGTATGGCAAGTTCATACTATTAGATTTTAATTATTATTTTTACTGCATTGATTAGGATTGCTATAGGAATCTAACGAATAATGGGATTACCATACGAAAGTCAAATCACAGTTTTTTATTCTCTCATCAAAAGTACTGGATAGTTGATGACAAAGAGGTCCACTTGAGCACAGGTATGAACACCATTACACTTGATAATGCACAACCATACTACTGCAACAGGTAATTGGGCAGAGTCAGATTTCCCCGTAGGCAAGGAATGGCCACCATATAAGGCTGCCAACCGTGACATGCTGGTAATAATGCAAAATCCTTCACTTGTTAAATTTTATGGAGACGTTTTCGAGCATGACTTCAAACTGGGAAATGATATACCAGGCGGACAATGAGTTATTACTTGAGTGTACATTAACTATTTTTATGCTGCTTTACTAATAATTAATAGAAACTTTTAGCTACAAACAATTTCTAAGATAATATCTTGCGTAAAGTTCTGAAGTGTTGCATTCCAGGAGTCACTGTTGTGATTACTATTGACAAGTGTCATTTTCACTTTCTTTGTTTTGTGTTCTTTTGAACATATACACTGCACAATCTTGCTCACAACAGGATCGCTAGTTTCCGTAGCATGCTTAAAAGTAGCGTGTTCAACTTCACACAGAAAAGCTCCCAATCTATCGATACGATATTGATTAAATTTTGAGTAAAGTCTTGACAAATGAGATCTCCCCAAGATGATTTTGATTGATTGCGGACGATACATAAATTCATCAATGATATTTTGTGCTAATCTGACAAGCCTTTCTTCTTCTAGTAGATCAATAAGGATATCATATTCATTTCTCCTATAGTTTGGTATAACTAGCTTACAATGGCCACAAATAACATGTAGTCCATATAGTGTTGATGTAGCACTGCTGGTGGCTGATGAGTTTTCAAATGGCGAGCCACATCCAAATAAAACGCGAAGAACATAGTCGAATTTGGAGCCGCGACAATCCTTTGATGTACAAGAGTGTATGAGAGTTAGTTTATTCAATAGCCAGTGAGTGGCTGTCTCTAAGAAGTATCCTCTCCAATTTGATTGATCTGATGACACATTGCTTTCAACATCCCAACATCTTTTGTACACACAACTCCATATTCTGAAATAGAAACATACACATAATACAAGTAAAGTAATAAGTTTGTTGTTACATGCACGAATGTATATAGATCTACTTGTTCATGTCACTTTGTGTCAGTTCATGCCTGGTGATGGCCATAGATTCCAAGTTACTTTCCAATTGTACAAGATCTAACGGTGAAAGAAGGCATAGCAGGGTAACCACTTCTCTCCTTGGCAAGGAGAACAGAAGATAATCTGTCGGATAATGTCTAAAATTCCCAATAATGGAACTTCTACATAAATCAGGGAGTGTAAAGGAGGCCATATTGATGAAACCACAGTAATGAGGCAACAATAACAATTACAATGTACATGTACATGTGCATAAAATAAATTTTTCTGTCTTTTCTTTAAATAAAATTTTCTCTCATTTCCTTCTATGTCTCTTGTATCTCTCGTTAGACGAGCCTCTACCAGTTACGGTAATAGTGAAACTTTTTCCTGTTATCTCCTCTGTAATAAGGAGCTCAATTGAATATTTAATTTCAGCTCTATACAATAAAACCAATGATTGATGACACATACATGTACACGTGTAACTATTACCTAGGAGTGAATGTAACCCTAACAGTTTCAGATCCAGTATCGAGCACATTAGAGTTAGGCTCTAACTGTATTACTCTTGATAATTCTATTAACGATAAATCAGCGATAAATATATACAACAACAACATGTAAATGTACATGTACTGTACATGAATAGACTAGTAAGATGCATAGTGCACTCCTGAATACATAAACAGATACACTATAGATAACACTTGCTAACAAACATACAGTATAAACACACAATCTACACATACTTTCTGGTAGTGTGATATTCCATTTGAGTGATGAATGCGAAGTATTTCTCAGTTGGAAACTAGACAATGAGGAGTGTCCAATCAAACAAGTGCTATAATTGATATGAGATGGATAGGCTGAGAGGGAAGGTAGAGACACTCTCACACTGATTGGGAATTCCTATGACGAAAACATTATCATACACGTACATGTTTATTTTATTAAATTTACACAACACAGTGAGGCCGGCACACTATATGCTATGAACATGTACATGTGCAATATGCATTAGTACATGTACATGGTGCTTTACCTGTTTGATGCTGTTAGAATACTCAACAACAAGTGAATCATTTAACATCACCAGATCCTCTGCTGCTGATTCATCTTTCACAAGAGTCATGAAAGCTTCATGAGTTAAACAAATGCGTAATGACCCCTAAGAGATGAAAGAGAGAAAAATAAAAGAGATGGGGAGGAATTAGTAGAAAGTACATTAAGTTTCTTATTATCAATCAATTAGTACGTACTTCAATAGTTTCTCTTGGTTTAAGTGTTGAATAAACCTCTTCATTATTCATTAATACCATCAGTGGCTCAGATAAAGAGAGTACACGAAATGTGAGATTAGAGAGAGTCAGATTGGTAAGACTGAAAGAGTGGGAATGAACCATCTTCTTACTAACCTACAGTGGAACACATTGTACATTAATAATGATAAAGAATGGGGGCACAATTATGCATTAGAGACTCACTTCTCCATTGATAATAAAATCTGATGCAAAGTGTTGAAAACTCAAATCATTGTCATCAGTATGTGTCCTTAATGTTAGTCTATAAGAAGACAAACAAATGTTACAACAAACTGAAAGTGAATACATGCTTACATGTACAACCAATCTTAAACACAAACAACAAAACTCCCCGCCGCCTCTCCCTTTAGAATTACACACATGCAACAAGCATACTGCAATTAAAAAAGTACATGTACATGTACTGTAGTTATTTTACTGGAAGGATCATTATAGTCTATGGGGAGT